TAAGCACTTACTACATGCCAATCCAGTTGTGACCCAATTCTGAACCCTTTCTGGTTTGGTAGGGCCTTCTTGAGATTGTTGCTCCATGGCATAGCTTTTGAGAACCCAGGTACATCTCCACGTTAAGAGGAGCCAAAGGAGGATGTTAGTGGAGATTTAGAGGCAGATAGGTGGTACAATGGATAGAACATTGGGTCTGGAGTCAAGAAGACCTGAGTTCAAATATGACCTCAGGCACTTATTAGCTTTGTTTTTATTTTAAGTATTTATTTATTTTTATTTATTTTTATTAATTTTGATTTATCAACAATCACTTCCATAAGCTTTTGAGTTTTAAATTTTTCTCCCCTTCCCTTCCTACCTCCCTCCCCAAGACGGCATGCAATCCAATATAGGCTATACATATACATTCTTATTAAACATATTTTCACATTAGTGATGTTGTAAGTAAGAATTAGAACTAATAGGAAGGACCACCAGAAAGAGGAAACAAAACACAACGAGAGAAAAAAAAAGCAAATAGTATACTTTGATCTGCATTGAAACTCCATAGTTCTTTCTTTGAATGTGGATAGCATTTTCATCATGAGGCTTTTGGAGATGTCTTAGATCCTTGTATTGCTGAGAGGGGTTAAGTCTAGCAAAGTCAGTCATCACTCAATGTGGCTGTTACTGTGTACAACGTTCTCCCGGTTCTGCTCACTTCACTCAGCATCAAACCATTCAAGTCTTTCCAGTTTTATCTGAAGTCAGCCTGCTCATCATTTCTTATAGTATTCCATCACAATGGTATTCCATTATATTCATATATCACATTCACAATTATAACTATCTGTGTCTTTCTCTTCATCCTTTTCCCCTCACCCCATTTATGCTTTTCTTTCTCTTATCTCCTTGGAAGCCCAGATCGGTGGTTCTCAAGGTGTAGTCTAGAGACCCTTTCAAAGGGTCTACAAGGTCAAAACTCTTTTCATGGTAATATTAAATAGGATAAATATTGATAGAACCCACATAAACAAAAGCTCTTTGGAGTTCCTCAATAACTTTTGAGACTGTGAAGAAACCAAAAAATTTGAGAACCGCTAGCCTAGGTTATAATCCAGCTTATGGTTATTTACATAATAATTACCCAACAGCTCTGTGGATTGGGTTTTTCCAATTTCTGAGCCTAAAAGTTTTTGTGTTTCCTTGTAGATGAGTGGAGAAAAAGCAGAGGCAGTACCAGGCCCAAGGGCAAGGTCGCTGCTCCAAGCACTTTCTCAGTTCTATTCCTGGCTTCTTCATGTGCAGTTATGGCCAATTAAAAACTGAAAAGTGCTTTGCAGTTTCCTTTACATCTATATAAAGCATTACAAGTAATTACAGGAGGGAGAGAACCCTAACCAAGGAGAGGGGGTCAGAAAAGTCTTTCTGAGCTGTGTTTTGAAGGAAACCAGACTTATAAGAAGCAGAGGGGATGAACGGCATACACTCCAGGCATGGGGGATGGAGAAGCCTTATGTCTGGAGCTATTTCTGTGTACCCTGGCTTGGTTACCTATGTAAAACATGAAAATTATGATGTATTCATGAACTAATTTGGAAGGACAGGCAAAAAATGGTGATGGAGAGATTTTTTTAATTTTTAAAAATGGTAAATTTGTCCATAATCAATGGTTCTTTCCTTAAACAAAATAAAACCTAATGCTTTTTTTTTTACATCACTGTCACTTTTATCCCTTCTCCAATAAAATCCTCCCCTGTAACAAAGAAGTACTATTGTGGAGCATAAATCCACACGTTAAACTGTTTCTGACAGTGGATACCTTATTCCACACCTATAGTCCACTACCTCTCTGTACAGAGTCCTAGAGGTATGCTTCACCATTCCTTGTCTGTAGTCATAATTCATCAAAAATGGATCTGGCATCAAGTTACTGATACCAGACTGGACATGGGGTCAGCATGTGAAATGAGAATAGCATTCTGGAGTTCAACAGAAGAATGGGGCCCACAGGCAGATAGTAAGAGGAAGCAGAGGACAAGGTTCTTTCAGCCTTCTATGGTATGTTAATCTGGCCCCAGATCATGCTTTATACCCTAACCAGTAATCTGCCAGAAAATCTAGGCTTCCCTGGGCATTTTACATTTGCTCTGCCCACTTCCTAACCCCTTTCTCCATATGTGGAAGAGCACCCTCCAGACTGGAGTTCCAAAGACTTTCTCCACCTTCCTTGGGAAGTTGATCAACTTAAAACCCTAAACTGGGACTGAGCGGTCCTTATTGGAGAGTTAGTGAGTGCAAAATTACCTAACTCACTATATATAGTTGGCCCCAGACATGCTTTTCATTCCATTTAGTCATCTACCAGGAAACTGGGACTTACCTTTGAGGCATCTGCTATCTGCCTGGCCAATCACATGAGTATCCCTTTCACTTCTTCCCTGTCCCTTCCTCTCCCCTCTCCATCTACCTCTTGCTCTGGAAACAGTAATCAAATCAATACCACCACTGCTACTAGAAAGGCTATGGCAGCCAACTTCCTTCTGGCTCCATTCACAATCCCCCATCACTCCTTGGCCATCATTTTCTTATAGATGTTGTATCCACTTATTAAAATATAAGCTCCTTGAGGGCAAGGACTGTCTCACTTTTGTATTTGTATCTCTAGTGCCCGGCACAAAGTAAGGAATCATAAATTATTACTAATTCATTCACTCATTCCCCCTGTTTTCAGTCCTTTACCTTAAGTCATTTCTTATGATTATCTTTTCTCACCAATCCCTCATATTTTCATGTTTTTCCCCAGGAAAGCTACAGGATTCTGCCTGTTCCTACAAGGGGACAATTGCTGAGAAAACATTTTTTAATTTAAGTTTAAATAAAAATCTTTAATTGCTTATAATGCAAAGCAAATTTATAATCATAAGTAGTTTATGACAACCAATACAAAAGCACCTAGGCCCTGCTAGAGGCAAAGCTTTTCTTCCAGGTCCTTGCCACCTTTTCCCATCTCAGCACCTTTTCTCCCCTCTTGCTATTGTCAGAGAGGAAAGGGCAGCTGATTAATTTAGAGTCAGTCAGCTAGCATTTATTAAGTACCACTATGTGCCAGGTACTAAGGTAATAAGGTGAGGCAGCTTGAAGTAGGGGATAGAGGACTGGCCTTGGAGTTATGAGCTAGGGTTGCCTTATCTATGACACATGTTAATGGTGTGATTAAGGGCAAATTAACCTCTCTGTGCCCCCAACAATGGAGACAGTTTCCACATTCGGTGTTCCCCACACCATAGGACCACCAGATCCCTGCCTTCCTTCCTTCAAAGGTAACATTTTGGATTTTGGGAGGGGTGTGGTGAGGTGAGAAACCAGAGGTATATTGTCCTCAACTTCCTCTTTTCTTTTTTTTTTTCTGTTATTTTTTTTTTTTGGCAAGGCAATCAGGGTTAAGTGACTTGCCCAAGATCACACAGCTAATAAGTTCAAGTGCCTAAGACTGCATTTGAACTCAGGTCTTCCTGACTCCATGGCCAGAGTTCTTTCCACTGCACTATGTAGCTGCCCCTCAACTCCTTCTTTTCAATCTTTGCGTGATGTGAGGTGAGATGAGACAAGATGAAATGAGATAGGATGAATGCGATGAGGTCTATCACTATAGCTCCTGGTAAGGCTTATAACATGAATGGCATAAGTTTTCCCTTCCTTTCTCTCTCTTGCCTGTCCTTCTGGATAGAGATCGGGGCAGGGTGAGAGGGTCTATCCTTCTGGGAGGTGCGTGTTTCTTTAGGTAAGTACTTTTTTGATAAGTCACAGATATATTTCCATGACATAGTCTTAAATTTAGAGCTGGGGTGAATCTTAGTGTTCATTTAATGCAACCTCTTTATTATGCAAACAAGGAAACTAGATTCCAATGGACCAATTATGTTTTGGTGAAAAAACCAAGGTCTTGAGTTTTGCTTCTTTCTAGTAGTTTAGTAGTAAATGGAAGCCCAAGGATCACATTGGTAGTAAGTGATGGAGCCGAGATGACCACTTCGTTCCTGTGACTACAAGTTCAGGGCTCATTAAATGACACCATATCAAGGTATTGATAGATCATGCCTCCCAGGATGAAAATGACTGAGAAACTCCTGAGGGCCCAGGATACGTGCCACGTGCGGCCTGCCTGTACCACCTGGGGTGTACCAACAGCTGTCCTTATGGGGATGCATGTTTATCTGATGATGCACAGCAGGAAGGGAAATAACCCTTACAACCAAGCTTACAACTCCCTAACAAAAGGCCTCACACTCGGCTGCCAGGGGGTGAGCTCCTTTGGTGAGCTCTTAGCAGAAGCATGATCCCAGCAGGGATCCTTATGTATCTTTTAGTGACCCATGTTTCTAATTGAGTTTGAAACCACTGCTCTACCAACTCTCTAAGACTATACGTTTCAGAGAAATGCTGATCTGCATTGGTCAAAGGAGATTCTTTACCTGGCAGTTCCTTAAGCCAATGAAATCGCAGGTCTGATTCCTGTTCCTATCCTCCCACAGAGGCAATGTGGCATTGTGGATAGATTTGGATTTGGTATCAGAAAGACCTCGGTTTGAATTTCACTCTTAGACACTTAGCTGTATCATGTCGGATACATTGCTTCACCTCACTGCACCTCAGTTTCCTCATCTGTAAAACAGGATTAATGAGAGCATCTACATAATACATAATCTACATAATAGAGAAAAAGCTCTGTAGACTCCAAAGAACTATTTAAATATGAGCAATTACTATCATTTGGTCATACTTTGGACCCTCTACCATCTTGCCTGTCTCCCAGACATTTTTAGTCTGCTCACTTCCAAATTAAATCCCCTTTTAGAACTTCCACTTTCATGATTTACCTTTCCTTTTAATATCTTACAATCCATTTTAGCCGTTTTAGCCCAATTGCTCTGCTATCACTGGCAAGTTCTAAATCAAGTCCCCTTTTCCCAAGCCAGCCCTGTAACATACCTCCAATAAATGTGTTACTTCCCCCAGGAGCATTTCCATTTTCAAAGAGAATAGAAGCATGATGTGACAAGCCCGAGCCAGGAACCAGGACATGGGTTGCTGAGCAGAGGGGCCACAGGCAGAAAGCAGTGTCTGAAATAGAAACAGGGCCAGTACCAAGATCAAGAACAGTCCAAGGGAGTTAGAAAAAGAGAGTGTTCGTGGTCAGCATGCAGGAGCTCAATACTAAGGGGTGTATGTGGATTCTGTACAGTTTCCTCAATTCATTACCTCAGCATTTTTCTGATTCCAGTGCTTTACTCTGAGTTATATGAGACTGGTCCCATCTCTGACTCCCTCTAAAAGGAGGGTCCTTGAGCATGTCATGAAGGTCTTTGAAAGTCTTGTGAAGCCTATGGACCCCTTCTCAGAATAATGTTTTTGAAACCAGAAAATATTTAGGATTAAATATAATAGCATTTTAAGGATTTCAAAGTGTACATATGTTATCTCTATTGGTCCTTACAACAAGCCTGCAAGGTAGATGCTATTATTATCCTCATTTTACAGATGAGGAAACCTGAAAGAAGTTAAGTGACTTGTCCAGGGTCACACAGGTATTGTGGCTATTGAGTTGGGATATGAACTCGGGTCTTCTTGACTGCACGTCCAGAACTATACATATTTCACAACTTAGCTTCCTAGAAACCAGTCAGCACCATGTTAGGTTCAGTGTAGCCATCTGGAGTGGAACTGGAAAACGGGCGTTATACGCTGCCTCATCCAGCTTTTGCCGGGGAACCCGCTGCAGGTGCCGGGAATGCTAGGACTTTCAGCCGAAGGTGCTGAGATCGATCATCTTGACTGAGCTGCTCTGTACCATGCCCTCACAGCTGGCCTCTTCTGGGGGTTCTACCGGGGCCTCCTGCCTCTCATCAACTGGCATGGACACTTCAATACCTTTATCAAAATATAATTTTTAAAATGGGGGCAGCTAGGTGGTACAGTGCATAGAGCATCAGCCCTGGAGTTAGGAGGACCTGAGTATAAATTTGGCCTCAGACCCTTACTAGTTGTGTGACCCTGGGCAAGTCACATAACCCCGATTGCCTCCAAGAACAACAACAACAGCACTAAAATTCACAAACTACCAGTTAAGAACCGACTCTAAACTGACTGTAGTCTTCACAATTACAGCCAAAATAGTTCTCCATGGCAATGGCTATCTCTTAAGTGGTGATGGGCAATAGGTTAGTAGAAGAGAAAGCACTTTATAAACTGTGAAGTTGTATAAATGGGAAATCCTACTCTGCTGATTCATGATGGTGTGGAGGTGACCCTAGGCTCTCAAAGGCCATGCCATCAGATCTTGATCTCTGGAAGGTTTTAATAAGCTAGAAAGGCTACAATTATGGAGCTAGTGATAGTCTTTTTTTTCCCCTTAGGCATTTGGGGCTAAGTGGCTTCCCCAGGGTCACACAGCTAATAATTGTCAAGTATCTGAGGCCAGATTTGAACTCAGGTCCTCCTGACTCCAAAGCCAGAGGTCTATCCACTGTGCCATCTAGCTGCCCCCTAGTGATAGTCTTTTTGTCAGTTGTCTGAGAACCAGCTGGTTGAAACTCATAGAATTTCATCATCATGTTGGCTGCAGGCTGGGAAACTTTCTGGCCACATCAACTTAATAAAAAAAAAAAAAGGATCCACTAACCCTTGATGCTTTCCATCTTTTCTCTCTGTGCATTTGCTTTTTTCCTAGGCTGGGAGTGTAGGAATGCACTCCCACTTCTTAATATCCCAAGCTCCTACAAAGATAAGCTGAAAGGCCATCTCTTCCATGAGGCCTTTCCTGATGTTCGCTGATGGGAGGACCCGTTCTCCTCATTACTTTTTATAATTTTTTTATTTACTTACATATACATGTTGTTTTCCCTGATAGAATGTAAGCTCCTTGAGGGCAGGGACTAGTTCATTTTTTTTTCTTTGTATTCCCAACACCTAACAAAGTGTGTGGTACATGGTCTTGTAGGTGTTTAACATGTGCATGCTGAATGATTGGTTGCTAAGATATCTGTACAAAGAGTTGGGGCAGCTAGGTGACAGAGTGGATAGAGTACCAGGCCTGGAGTCAGGAAGACTCATCTTCCCAAGTTCAAACCCGGCCTCAGACAATTACTAGGTGTGTGACCCCGGGCAAGTCACTTAACCCTGTTTGCCTCAGTTCCTCACGTATAAAATGAGCTGAAGAATGAAATGTCAAACTACTTTAGTGTGTCTGCCAAGAAACCCCCAAATGGGGACATGAAGAGTTGGAAATGACTGAACAAGAAGAAGAAGAAGAAGAAGGGGGCAGGGGTAGAAGGAGTACTCACCATGAAAACAAATCACATATCTTGGGCAATTTATTAACCCTTCTGGACTTCACTTTCTTCCCTTTTAAAAAGAGAAGATTAGATTAGATGGCCGTGGTCACCTTTCTAGATCTAGATCCTATGAGGACCTTCAATTTGATCCAATTTAACAAGCATTTGGGGCATCTACGTGGCGTGGTGGTTAGAGCACTGGGCCTGGAGTCAGGAAGACTCCTCTTTCTGAATTCAAATTCATCCTCAGACATTTACTAGCTGTGTGACCCTGAGCAAGTCACTTACTCCTATTTGCCTCAGTTTCTTCATCTGTAAAATGAGCTGCAGAAGGAAATGGGAAACCACTCTAGCATCTTTGCTAAGAAAGCCCCAAATGGGGTCATGAAGAGGCAGACACAACTAAAAAAAATGACTGAAATGAGCAAGCATTGTTGAACATCTACCATAGGGAAAAGTACAATGCTAGGTACTAGGAGTATAAAAATAGAATTAAAAATAGTTGCTTCCCTTGAGGAGTTTATATTCTACTGGGTGGTTGAAACAGAAACATGTAAGTTGATCAATGATTTGAAGAGAGAGGGCGCACATACAATTCACAAAATCAGAAAAGGTTTCCTGGAGGACGAAGCATGTGAGCTGAGCCTCAAGGTGCTTATATAAGAAGGATAATTATTACTGTAATTCTATGGCTCCTGCCATGAAACAGAAATCCCTGAGTACCAACAGAAGGAGTGATGCCTGTATTTTTAATTTCAAACAAGTTTACCTGTTCATTTTACCTTTTCCTTTGACCTAAAACTGGTTCATCCAGAGGCTGCTGGATTCTTTTTCTCTCTTTCCTTTTAACTGATAGGGTAAAAATGTCAACATCAGGACTCAGTATTAGGAGCAAACCAAGGGTTCGAGAACACAACAGAATTAATCCCACTGAGAAAAGAAGTGGCCAAAAGTAGCTGCTCTGACGGTGAAAAAACATCTGGCCCCTGCTAAATGTCAGCCCAATGACTCTGAGCAGTATGTCTTACGATTACTTTGGGTTCACTTCATAAGCCTGTACTACATTCTCTGGTTCTTACGTGGTTGCTGCCTGATCTTTGCCTTGCACAGCCTTTCAAGGTCTTCTTGTTAGTATGTACCTAAAGAGGGGTGTATTTATAAAGGTCCAAAGGCCAAATTAAAAATAGAATTTCAGTCACGCAGCTGACACTTTCCTTCTCTTCCCCCCCCCCCGCCCCATAAGGTAAGGGAAGCAATCAGCTGGGGAGAAAGAAGCCCGGATAAGAAATCAGTGAGTGATGCCCACCAAAGGTATTCCTGGAGAGACAGTTTTTAGAACAAAAGCCCAGATCTTTAAGCAATGCTGATTCTAAGCCTTTCCTGATTTTTCCCATCTTCTATTGCCTTCCCCTCTATTGTGTCCAATTTATCCCATATATGGTTTATTTGTAGATAGTTATTTGCACGTTGTCTCTCCCATTACACTGAGCCCCTTGAGAAGAGGGTCTCTATTTCCTTTCTTTATATCATGTCACTTAGCGCTGTGCCTGACACATAGCAGGCACTTAATAAATGTTTATTGATTGACCGTAGGTGATAATTGCTTTTTCCCATTTCATGTTTTCCCCATTTATAGTTGTTGTTGTTTAGCCATTTCAGTCGCGTTTGACTCTTTGTGACCCCATTTGGAGTCTTTTGGTAGAGATACTGGAATAGTTTGCCATTTCCTTCTCCAGCACATTCTACAGATGAAGAAACTGAGGCAAATAAGGTTAAGCGACTTGCCCAGAGTCCCACAGCTAGAACATGTCTGAGGTCAGATTTGAACTCAGGAAGATGAGTCTTTCTGACTTCAGGCCCTGAAGATGCATAAGTAGGTGCTTAATACATATTTATTGACTGATTGATAATGACTGAGTTTAGCTTGGTGTCTATTTTTCTCTGACTCCCTTTTCTCTCTGTTCTTTTTCAGTGTTCTGTCTTTTAAATTATAACCTTGCATACAGGAAAATTTATTAAGCATCAATGCCTTACACATTGTCTAAACCAATGATTTCATAAATTCCTGGAGTAGAAACTCCCTCCGCTAATAGAATAAACATTTGTTAAGCGCTGTGCATTTTATAAATATTATCTTATTTGACACCCACAGCAACACTGGGAGGTAGATGCTATTGTTGTTCCCATTTTACAGATAAGGAAACTGAGGCAAACAGAGGTTTAGCGATTTGCCCAGAGTCACACAGCTAGTAAGTGTCCGAGGCCACATTTGAACTCAGACCTTCCTGATTCCCGGCCCAACTTGTCAAAGATCACACAGGTAGTAAGTCTCAAATGTAGAATAGGGAACACTCTATCTGTGGCACCACCTAGCCGCCTGATGTAAACTGGCAGCTCCTCTGTCATTTACTGCCTCTGAGAATCGCCTGGGGCATTGAGAGATGAGGTAATTTGCTTGTGTACATACTTGCAGATAGCTTCTGTCAGCAATAAGACTTAAACCCTGGCCATCCTGACTCCAAAGCTGTCTCTATTTTTTTTTTTCCATCTTGCCTCTGGCCTAGTATATGGTAGATAATATTTGATAAGTGTAGATCAGTAACTTAGATTATGAAATGTGCTAGCGAATGCCAACCCTCTAAGTCCACAAAAAAAGGAAGGATGTGTGAGTAGGGGCCAAATCTTTGAAATGTAGGCCTTTACTTGCAAACCAAAAAGGGAAAATGCAGCTTTTCAGCAGGAATGAAAATCCCTACTGATATTCCAATGATTTGTTCCTGATGCCTATTA